GTATGTGTGTGTGTGTTTGTGAAACTGGTTTGTAAAAGTAGTTCTGACAAGATTTGCTTAAGCCTAGCTTTCTTCTTTTATCCTGGATTTGTCAATTGACTTTTGTGAAATGTCTCTCAGGACTTTGATCAGGGTGAAAACGTATCCGAGGCTTGGACTTTGATCATAATGAGAACTCTTTTTTTTTTTTTTTTTGTCTGATTTAGAAGAAACGCTTTTAAAGACTCTTGAACATCAGGGTAAAAACAACTTCTTGCATATTGGCATGTTGAAACCCTAAAAAAGGAGAACTTTCATTGATTTCACAAAGCTTTTCCTGATTTCAACTGGTATGCAGATCCTTCAGTATTCAGTCTGGTTTCCAGCCGGAACGTGTGTGCTTTTCTCCTCAGAGCTGAGCTGTGGCAGTCTATCTGCCTCCATGGCTCGTTACCTGAAGTTTTTCACCACGGTTGGTGACGAGCAGCCAGGCCAGTGGCAGGATGAGGAGCTTCATGTCACCAGTGAAGTGTTGAGTCCGGCTACAGGCCTGTTTCCAGCAACCCTTGGTTTCAGAGACTCACTGAAGAGGCTCTACACCTCTGAACACTTCCAGGTGAGTCTTTGGGGTCTTGAAAGTCCAGAGGAGCTAAAGCTCTGCTGAGCCCTTTCGCAAGCAGACTGTTAATAAGGAAAAAATAAAAAACCCTTTAGGAAAGCACAGAGACATATGTAAATGGACTGGACTTGTATAACGCCTTTCTATCTGATCAAGATACTCAAAGCGCTATACACTACAATCTGTGTCCTCATTTGTGTGGGTGTATGTCATAAAATTAGAAAATCAGGAAAAAGTTTATTTCAGTAATTCCATTTAAAAAGTGAAACTTGCATATTATATTCATTCATTACACACAGACTGATATATTTCAAATGTTTATTTCTTTTCATGTTGATGATTATAACTGACAACTAATGAAAACCCCAAATTCAGTATCGCAGAAAATTAGAATATTACTTAAGGCTAATAAAAAAGGATTTTTAGAAATGTTGACCAACTGAAAAGTATGAACATGAAAAGTATGACCATGAAAAGTTTGAGCATGTAGAGCACTCAATACTTAGTTGGGACTCCTTTTGCCTGGATTACTGCAGCAATGCAGCGTGGCATGGAGTCGATCAGTCTGTGGCACTGCTCAGGTGTTATAAGAGCCCAGGTTGCTCTGATAGTGGCCTTCAGCTCTTCTGAATTGTTGGGTCTGGTGTATTGCATCTTCCTCTTCACAATATCCCATAGATTTTCTATGGGGTTAAGGTCAGGCGTGTTTGCTGGCCCATTAAGTGGATACCGTCATCCTTCAACCAGGTACTGGTAGCTTTGGCACTGTGTGCAGGTGCCAAGTCCTGTTGGAAAATGAAATCTGCATCTCCATAAAGTTGGTCAGCAGCAGGAAGCATGACCTGCTCTAAAAATTTCTGGTAGACGACTGCGTTGACCTTGGACCTGAGAAAACACAGTGGACCAACACCAGCAGATGACATGGCACCCCAGACCACCACTGACTGTGGAAACTTGACACTGGACCTCGAGCAACATGAATTCTGTGCTTCTCCTGTCTTCCACCAGACTCTGGGACCATGATTTCCAAAGGAAATGCAAAAATTACTTTCATCAGAAAACATAACTTTGGACCACTCAGCAGCAGGCCAGTCCTTTTTGTCTTTAGCCCAGACGAGATGCTTCTGATGCTGTCTCTTGTTCAACGGGGACTTGACATAAGGACTGCAACAGTGGAAACCCATGTCTTGCATATGTCTGTGCGTGATGGTTCTTCAAGCACTGACTTCAGCTGCAGTCCACTCTTTGTGAATCTCCCACATATTTTGAAATGGGTTATGTTTCATCAACCTTTCCACGGTGTGGTTATCCCTGTTGCTTATACCACATATTTTCCTTCCCTTCACCTTTCTGTTAATGTGCTTGGATACAGAGCTCTGTGAACAGCCAGTCTCTTTAGCAATGACATTTTGTGTCTTGTCCTCCTTGTGCAAGGTGTCAATAGTCGTCTTTTGGACAACTGTCAAGTCAGCAGTCTTCCCCATGATTGTGTAGCCTACAGGACTAGACTGAGAGACCATTTAAAGGCCTTTGCATGTGTTTTGAGTTAATTAGCTGATTAGACTGTGGCACAGTCACAATATTTCACAATATTCAAATTTTCTGAGATACTGAATTTGGAGTTTTCATTAGTTATCAGTTATAATAATCAACATTAAAATAAATAAACATTTGAAATACAGCAATGTAAAGTAGCTAGAGGAAGTATAGATGCAGCTTTTGTTGTCCCTCAGCTCATTCTCCTGATGTTTCCAGGTAGTGGTCGTGTGTTTGGTGGTCCTGGATGCCTTCTTTGTGCTGGCAGAGCTGCTCATAGATTTATCCATCATCAAACTTGAACATGGCCACGTTGCTCCTGAGGTGAGACGGGGCATCCTGCTCAATCTGAGGAACCTCCATCAGATTTCCTTTCAGCTAAATAGTCCACACATTTTAAAAATGTTTTGGTTTTTGTCATGCAGAAAATCATACCAAAACATGTCATGTGACATAAGTCATCTGTAAATCAAGGAAAAGCATATTCATTGAGTTTGTTGGATAAATGTGTACACCCTGAAACTAATCATTTTTCCCAAAGGGCCGTCCATCCATGCGTCAGTGGAGGTACCAACATTCATTGTGCAGCTAGGCATATGAAAGGATCCTTTCAAAAATTGGGTTTCTATGTTAAAATCCAAGATGGCCACCAACATTTGTAAACAGCCACCCCGTCCGTCTGTCCGTCCATTCATCCATCCATCCATCATCTTCCGCTTATTCCGAAGTCGGGTCATGGGGGCAGCAGCTTGAGCAGGGAGGCCCAAACATCTCTTTCCACAGCCACCTCTTCCAGCTCTTCTGGGAGGATTCCGAGGCGTTCCCAGGCCAACCGAGAGACATAGACTCTCCAGCATGTCATGGGTTTTCACCGGGGTCTCCTCCCAGATGGCATCCTCACCAGATGCCTGAACCACCTCAACTGGCTCCTCTCGACGTGGAGGAGTAGTGGTTCTACTCAGTCTCTCCCAGATAACTGAACTTCTCACACTATCTCTAAGGGAGAGTCCAGCTACCCTGCAGAGAAAGCTCATTGCAACCACCTGTATCCTCGATCTCATGCTTTCGGTCACTACCCAGAGCTCATGACCATAGGTGAGGGTAGGAACGTAGACCGACCGGTAAACAGAGAGCTTTGCTTTATAGCTCAGCTCTCTCTCCACCACAACAAACCGGTACAGAGTCCGCAATACTGCAGATGCTGCACCAATCCGTCTATCAATCTCATGCTCCATTATTCCCTCACTCGTGAACAAAACCCAGAGATACTTGAACTCCTCCACTTGAGGCAGAACCTCACCCTCGACCTGAAGAGAGCAATCCACCCTTTTTCGGTTGAGGGCCATGGCCTCAGATTTGGAGGTGCTGATTCTCATCCTGGGCAGCACGGTGGCGCAACTGGTAGAGCTGCTGCCTCTCAGCGAGAAGGTCCTTGGTTCAAACCCCAGTCCAGGGGCCTTTCTGGGTGGAGTTTGCATGTTCTCTCCGTGCATGCGTGGGTTTTCTCCGGGTGCTCCGGTTTCCTCCCACAGACCAAAAACATGCATGTTAGGCTGATTGGTTACTCTAAATTGTCCCTAGGTGTGAGTGAGAGAGTGAATGGTTGTTTGTCTCGTTTGTCTCTATGTGGCCCTGTGATGGACTTGCGACCCGTCCAGGGTGTACCCCGCCCCTCGCACAGTGACTGCTGGACATGGGCACCAGTGACCCCCGTGACCCAAAATGGAATAAACGGGTAAAGATAATGGATGGATGGATGGATTCTCATCCCAGCCGCTTCACACTCGGCTGCGAACCGCTCCAGTGAGAGCTGAAGATCACGGTACAATGACGCCAAAAGGACCACATCATTTGCAAAGAGCAGAGATGGAATCCTGAGGCCACCAAACCAGAAACCCTCTGCCAAGAGGACAAGACACAAAAAGTCATTGCTAAAGAGGCTGGCTATTCACTGGCTGCATCGTGAAATTCTGTCCATGAAAGTTATGAATCGAATCGGTGACTATCGGCATCCCTGGCAGAGTCCAACTCCCACCCTGAAGGGGTCCGACTTATTGCTGGCAATGCGAACCAAACTCTCGCACTGCTTGTATAGGGACTGAACAGCCCGTAACAACGGGCCTCCAATTCCATACTCACGGAGTACTCTCCACAGTGTACCTTGAGGAACATGGTCAAATGCCTTCTCCAAGTCCACAAAACACATGTAGACTAGATGGGCAAACTCCTATGACCCCTCAAGGACCCTAGTGAGGGTAAAGAGCTGATCCAGTGTTCCACGGTCAGGACGGAATCCACATTATTCCTCCTGGATCTGAGGTTCAACCAACGATCGGACTCGCTTCTCCAGTACCCCTGAATAGATCTTACCAGGGAGGATAAGGAGAGTGATGCCCCTCCGGTCCCCCTTTTTGAAGAGGGGAACCACCACCCCAGTCTGCCAATCCAGTGGCACTGCTCCCGATGTCCATGTGACATTGCAAAGGCGTGTCAGCTAAGACAGCCCCACAACATCCAGAGCCTTAAGGAAATCAGGGTGAATCTCATCCACTCCTGCCCTGTCGCCTCGAAGCTTTTTAACTACCTTGGCAACCTCAGCCACGGTTATGGACGGATCAACTCCAAAGTCCCCCGACTCAGCTTCTGCCATGGAAGACGTGCTGGTGGGATTGAGAATGTCAGAGCAGTATTCCTTCCACTTCCCGACAACGTCACTGGTCAAGGTCAACAGTACCCAACCTTCAATGAACACAGTGTTAGTAAAGTGCTGCTTTCCCCTCCTCAGCCGCCTGATGGTTTGCCAGAATCTCCTTGGAGCTGACCGAGAGTCTATCCAAGGTCTCACCAAATTCTTCCCACATCCGAGCTTTTGTCTCAGCAACAGCCAAGGCTGCACACCGCTTGGCCCTCCGGTACTCCTGAGCTGCCTCCAGAGTCCCACTGGCCAACAAGGCCCGATAGGACTCCTTCTTCAGCTTGACAGCCTCCCTAACTCAGGGTGTCCACTCGTGGATGGCCACTGCGAGAAGTACAGACACCATTGTGGCAACAGCTCAAGGCAGCTACCTCAACAAGCGAGGCGTGGAACATGGCTCACTCAGACTCAATGTCCCCCACTTCAGCTGGGATGCGGTTAAAGGTCTCCCGGAGGTGTGAGTTGAATATATCTCTGACGGGTTCTTCAGCCACCCCTGTTTTTTGAGAAAACTGTTTACTATTTTTTATATTGCTTAAAATTTTAGTTTCCTCAAATGATTGATATGGCTGAAGATTAATCTATGGGGCCAAGGCCACCATTGGTCACCCCCTGACTCCACCATTGCACTTGATGGTGGACAAAATTGCTCTGTCCTTTCTCCAGGATTGGTCTCTATGTGCTGCCTCAGACAAGAAAAAAAATCACACCTACCTCTGTTCTCCACAGTGGAACTCCCACCCACTTGAATATCTTTCACCACAAATATTCAGGTTTACTTACATTCTGACGGCTGCTTGCTATTCACAGAGCAAGCAGCCATCAGGGCACTAACGACCAATTCTTAGGCCGATGGTCCTCCTTTGGCTATTTCTGGATGTCAACAACAAACTGGTTGATCCACTATGAGAAGGTGCTATTTATAAGTCAGAGTCAGAGTTTCTTTATTGTCATTCGCACATGTGGTGGAACGAAATTATGTACACAGGGTCCCAAGACTGAGTTTGTTGCAGCTCCTCAGACTAAATAAGTCTTTTGGATTAAAGATGAAATGTTTCAAGAACAATCCATCCAGAGGACCTAACTCAACCTGGTTAGATTTATCTACCTGGATTATTATCCTGATGCATGCTCAATAATCCAGGTAGAAAAATCCAAAAAAGTCAAATCTGGTCCTCTGGACATTCAAAAAAAAAAAAAAAAAAAAAACTAAACAAAGCAAAACAAACAAAAAAAAAATGTAGAAACGTTTCGTCTCTCATCCGAGAGACTTCCTCAGTCTGAGGTGCTGTATTCAGCTCAGTCTCTTAAATAGCACCGTCTCAGAGTGGATCAACCAGTTTTGCTGCTGACAACCAAAACCAGCTGATCACATGCTCAAGAAGGACCATCAGCCTAACAATGGATCATTAGCACACTGATGGCTGTTTACTATTCACAGAGGGCTGAGTGATACTAGCAATCACAGCATTGTAAGAGGGGG